TTTTCTCCATCCCTGCAACTACCCAGTGGGACAGTTCCATGGAAGAGGGCTTAGGCTGTCAACAAATGGTTGGTCAGTGATGGGGCTGACTCACCTGAGATGTGTATTTCCAGGGGCTCACTGGGTGCTGACCACAGCTGTGGGGTTTGGTTGTAGTAACCATAGCATCGGAATGTCCCTGTGTGGTCTGCTGTTACATGATCTATAGAGAATAAGGCTTGGTACTGCCTAATTCTGCCTATGTACTGTGAGTTCAGGGAGCCGGAGAATTTCTGATCTTCCTTGGTGAGAATGAACTTGTGGTAGAACACCCGTGAGACACACTGGAGAGTCATGTTCCCTCCGGAGGTCACCACAGGGCTGGGCAGTGCTGACAGACTGAGTTTACTGTCATAGATTCCTAGGACAGAAGGAGGCAGCCTGTTACATGTGATTACACAGTCACAATGCTGTCAGGGCTAGGCTTTGGGAGGAATACTTCTGAGAGCAGAGCCTGGGGCTGAGACCCTCTCTCTCTCCTCACCTGTCACCACCAGTTCCAGAGTGTCACTGCGCTGTGACCAGCCAGATGAGCTGTAACAGTAACAGTGATATTCCCCCCCACTGTCCTCTGACACAGAAGGAATGGAGAATGTGGACCTGCTCCCAGGCTCCTTTGGGGTCTGTGTACCCCAGGTTTGTTGGCTTCCCTCTTTATGCAGAAAACACATTTCTGCATCCAGGGTCCCCTGACAGGAGATGTTCATGGGGTTTCCTGAGGCAACCACAGGGCCTGGCTCAGCCTTGATGGTGGGTTTGTGGAGGGTCCCTGCAAGGAAATAGGAGAGAAGGGGGTGGGTTTCTTTGAAAATGCACAGGAGAGTCACAGTTGTTGATGGTACTTACTTCTATTTAAGTTATTCTTCTGTCAAGCAATACATTCTGACAGCCGCCCCCACACCTCCCCTCTCCCCCAGGTCCATGGCTCCTCTGTTTCCCTTCAGAACAGAGCAGGGTTCCCAGTGATATGACTGGAACACGGGATAACAACATCCAGTAAGACTGGGCAAACCCCCTCCTGTTAAGGCTGGAGAAGGCAACCGAAAAAAGATCCCCTGTGCAGGTGAAAGACCCAGGGACTTCCAGACTCCTGCTGTTATGAGTCTAACAAGCTAGTAAGGCATGGTGGTTCTTGACTTTAATCCTAGCACTCAGGAGACCAATGGAAGCAGATCTCTGTGAGTTCAAGGCCAGTATGGGCTACAGAGTGAGATTCAGGACAGACAGGGCTACACAGATCTCCAAGAAATAAAATTTCTAAGAAACAAAAGATAAAAGACCCCAGGGTAAATCAGCACAGCCTGTTGCAGAGGGCTTAGGGAAGACCCAAGCATGAGCCTCGGTTGCTGCTTCAGTCTCTGTGAGCCCTCCTGATCCCTGCTGAGTTGATCCACTAGGCTGTGTCCTCCTGGTGTCCTGAGTGCTCTGGCTTCTAAAACCCTTCCTCTCTCTCTTCCTTCTGTGGAGTGTCCCGAGTTTTGTTGGATGCTATTTAAGCTGATGCAGAGTAACCGAGGGCCCCATGAAGTTTCCTCTCTGTCCTGGATCTCCTAGACTCTCATGTCACTGTGTCCCTTGGATTCTGTGTCTTGTGTCCCTCTGTCTCCCAGAATCTCTGTCAATGGGCCCAGGAGCCCTGGCTCCTCACACACCACACACCAAAGCCCCTCTCAGCACCTGTGTCAGTTCACCAACCTTCTAGGGAAAGACTGGGGTTCCTCACCTGAGAACAGGAGCTCCAGGGGGTCACTAGGTTCTGACCACACCAGTGGGCTGTAACTTTCAAAGCAGTAGCATCTGAATGTCCACCTTTGGTTGGAGGTCACAGGACCCACAGACTGACTGGCCTGGTAGTGCCAAGAAGAGTAGTTGTACTCTGGGTCCAGTGTCCAGAAGGACTTTTGTGGTCCTTCCTTAGTCAGAATGAACTTGTAATACCATTGCCTTGAGACACACTGTAGAGTGACTTTCCCTCCTTCAGTCACCACAGGGCTGGGATGGGCTGACAGGCTGGGTTGACTGTAGGCCCCTAGGAGAGAAGGAGAAAGTTAAATGTCCTCCAAGGCCTCATTATATTCCACGACTGTGAGGGGAGTCATCCCTGTTTACAGAAACACTTCTTGACAGTCAAGCCTGAGGTTAGGGACTCTGTGAGTTCTCTCACCTGTCACCACCACCTCCAGGGAGTCACTGTGCTCTGACCATCCATCAGGGCCCCGATAGCAACATTGGTATCGCCCAGCTTGTTCCCGGCCTATATTTGAGATTGAGAATTCAGCCTTGTCATTAGATTGCTGTGGAATCTCTGTGAGCATTAAATACGTGTCTCCATCTTTATACAGAATGTACTGTTTGGCTCCTTTGGTCCCTTCACACAAGAAGGTCACTGTAGTCTGCTCTGAGACCACAGAGTCTGGCTGTACTGTGAGTTCAGGTTTAGGGTGAATTCCTGCAAGGAAAAGATCAGCTAAGATGAAGGAAATCCATCTTCTTACAGTAGCCCCAACCCCTACATCCACCCATAGGGGCAGCACACATGTGATGTTTTCCATTCTCACAGCCCAGCATGGCTCCAGAAATGATAAGAAGTGATGTCAGGACATCTGCAGACACTCACTCACCTGCCAGCACTGGTGTCCCATGGCCCAGAGTCAGTCCTGGAAGAGAGTTCCCTGTGAGAGGTTTGTCCCTGAATCTTGAGAAGGTCCTCCCCTCTGCAGAACCTCCTGAGACCCTGGGGTTTCCTAACTGACCCGTGCTGGGCTGTGGGGCAGCATCAATCCCAGAGCACAGCATCCCTCCCCATCTCCACATCTCACCCAGACAGAGCAGGGCTGTGAAGGAGACGGTCATGGCGTCTCCTCCTGGAGGCTGCAACTGTGCTCATGGGCAGAGCTACAGAGTCTGTCTGAAGGGGCCGGAGACATAGGGTGTGGCCTCTGGAGGCAGGGCCCTCCCCATGACATGGTTGTGCTTCAGCAGCCCCACAGGAAGGGGAACTGCCCTCCTCACACACCAGGCTCTGAATTCCCTTGGTTTGTGTCTAGGTCATGCAGTAGACTCCATCAATATTTAATGGATGTCATTTCCAAAATCCCGACAGTGTCTGCCTCATCTGTCCTCATCTTTGTCAGGACCAGGTCGGGGCAGACATGAATGTGTATTACACACAGGAAATACTAATTTTCATGTGGGCTTGCGTTATTCCTTTTCACATTTTTTTTGTGTGTTTTCGAGACACGGTTTCTCATATTGTTTTGGAGAATATTCCGGAATTCACTCTGTAGACCAGGCTGGACTTGAACTCACAGAGATCTGCCTGCCTCTGCCTCCCGAGTGCTGGGATTAAAGGCGCGCGCCACCAACACCTGGTTCTTTTTCACATTTTTATGTGAAATGCTTCCCCATATTCAAAATGTTTGAAGGTTTCTGTGAAGGGTCTCAGTGTGCACATCTCAATGGAATGAAATGTGTAATCTACTTCCCCATAGTGCTGGCTTACAAGTTTGCAGTAGGGACTGAAGTAATGGCTCAGAGTTTTACAGCACTGGTTGCTCTTCCAGAGGTCCTGAGTTCAATTCCCAGCAACCCCGCGGTGGCTGACAACAATTTGCAATGAGATCTGATGCCCTCTTCTGGTGTGCAGGTTAACATCCAGGTAAAACCCTGTTCATAATAATAAATCAACCTTTAAAAAACAAAACAAAACCATATATACACTACCTTTTCTACTTGTATGTTTAATTAAACTAATGAAATAATAATAAAAAATTACATTCCTTTCTTTATGAGTATAGACAAACATTGTCACAGCACAGGAATGGAGGTCAGAGGACAAAGTCAGAAGTCCGTTTTCTCCTTGCATGATATGGATCAGAGTTGGGGCTGAAGGTTGGCAGCAGCGCTTATACACTGATCCGTGTCACTAGCTCAGTCTTAGCATTGTCACTTTCCTTAGTCCTTGTCCTCAGGCCAAAAAAATATTGCTCGGGTCCCAAGGGTCCTGGGCCAAGAAATTTTCCAGCATTTTTGGGTGCAGTTTGTGGGTGTGGCCACCCTTCTTCTTAAGGCGGTAGACCACACAGGATTGCAGGTGTGGGCAGCATTTGTGGGCAGCAGAGCATGGCCTTGTCATACTTGTCCTTCTGGAGAGACTGGCAAAGGGATGACTCTATGATGCCAGCAACAGGTGCAGCACCAGGTTCAGGGTGGGAATCTTTCTGTCCTTTGCCAATGGTCAGGATTTAGTCACCCTCATTCTTCTGTCAGTAAATCCCAGCCTCTGGTGGTCAGGTGAGATGCCTTCCTTGTCTTGGGTCTCAGTCTTGACATTGTCCATGGAGTCACTATGCTGGACCTCCAGGGTGATGGTCTTGCCCTTCTGGAAACTGCAGAATTTCTCCATCTTTGTGTCTGTTCCATCCCTTAGTTGAAGAGGAGGAGAGTTCAGTAAAAATAATTTATTTCCCTTTATTTTTGGAGCCAGGGAATGATGGCAGGGCCTCCAGAATTATAAGCTCACACCCCTCCCTTGAGACACACCCACTTACTTCTGCAGTTTCAATTTCTGATCTTGAGTTAAATTCATTTGATCTGCTATCTTTTTCTTAGACTTGTGGTTTTCATTATTATTGTTGCTGATTTGAGACAGGCTGTGTCAGTGGAGCCATGGCTTTCTCAGAGTTGGTTATGTAGAGCAGGTTGGGCTGGGACACTCTGCTTCCCAAGTGTTTGGATTAAAGTTGTGGCCTCCACACCCGGCCACAGGTTTAATTTTTGAGTGTATGAAAATGTCATATCAGTTTGTATAATGTTTTGGTGGTTCACCACCCACCCTGCCTTCCCCCTCCCTCTCTTACTGGTTCCCTCCTCACTGATCTGATTTTCTTTTTCATTCCCTCTGTGACCTGGTGGTTGTAGAAAATCCTCAGCCTCTTCTTACACTAAACTTTGTATTCTCTTCCTCCCATGCAGTTTAATTTGTGTTTCTCAAATGTTTGGACACAGTACCAGGGGCCACACCGTTAAAGAAAACCGACTGTCCCTCTCCAGCAGGCATTTGCTCTTCATCTGTGGGTGGGACACTGTGCCCATCTCCCTTCCCCATGCTGGATTTTTTCTCTATTGAGCTCACATGGGGTTGTAGATGTTACCACACCCACTGTGAGCTCAGATGTGTGACTGTCTTGTAGTGTCCAGAAATTGTTTATTGTCATCCTCTACCACCCCAGGGTCTCCACAGTTTTCAACCTTCTCTTCAGTAATGGCCCCATGCTACAAAGGTGTCACATGGGGAAAATTCTCTAACTTGGCATCGCTTCAAAGGCTGGGTCCAGGCCACACACATGTCCTGTTTGTCACATGGAGAATGAGATCGAGGTCGATGAGTATTTCCCACTTTTGTTGCTGAGCCAAAAAGACATCCTTAAATTCCTTTTTGTATCAATGTCAATATCAATAATTATCATCCTGTAAGAGTATTGGGAATTTAAGAGAATTCATATTAAGCGATGAGTTTGGGGGTTACCCTGGGCTGTATCAGGGCCTATCTCATAAGAGGAGACAAAAATTCCCCTAGAGTATGTGATGGACATACTCTAATCCAATACATTTTATGCATGTGATTATCTTCAAAGAAATCATGAGAATATATTTACTATAAAGCTCCCAAACTGTGGATATGTCCCAAATATTTCATCATATCTACTTCTTAGGGGATATTCCTATCCCAACTGTAGTGTGTTTTGCACTTTTGTGAATTGTCATAGGCAGTGTGTCTCATGGCTAGAGTGTCTTTATCCTATTGATTTCATGAGCAGCTGTTTTTCCTGAGAATCAGTGATGACCATTACCCTGAGTGTCCTGAGCTCATTCACACCTTCTACAGTCATCATTGTCAGTGAGAAGAGGTGCTGCCCCCTCCTGGTTGTCTAGAGGAATTTACCGAAGAGCACTGCAGCTGGCTTGTAGTCAGGAGTGTTAGCACCTGGGCTTTGAGCTGCTTCTTGTGTTTCTTACCTTTTGTGTTGGATATCCTCTATTTGAAGTCTGTGAATCTAGTCATAGTTCTCCCTGAAGTGTTCAAACCTATGTAAAACGTGGTTGTAGGACTCAGAAAAGTGAGAGGTCCTCTGTGACTGAGAATTACTTTGTCTTTTGTCTTCTTTGGAGAGATTCACATATGAAAATTTGCTATGTGAAACTGACCTGCAAAGGCGTAAATTGAATAACAATAAAACAGAAATTGTTAAGCAAGTCAGCCAGTTCACCAGAAGCTGGTTCCCCTGCTGCTGCAAAAGCTAAAATTCACCCTGGAGTGACCCAATTTTTTCCATGGATCAGTGCAAAACTGAACACCTACATTTGACAGGGTAGGATATCACACATGACATCCCATCAGTGCTCTCTGACACGGGTGGGTTAGATGCGGAGTTCCAGCAGAGGCATCACATTTGCTGGTGGATAAGAACCATCCAGGATGTAGGGTCACGATTCTTCTCCAACCTGGCCCCATGGCCTCCGCCCATGGAACTCTGCATGCACCACAGTGGCTGACCACAAAGCCACATGGACTCTGCTGGGTTAGTTCTTTAACCCTGTGTGCCCATTAGCATTTGCCCAGCAGAGGACTGCTCATGTTGCTTTTCAAAAAAAGCTCATTGTGGAATGAAGGGGAGTCTCTGTCTTGAGTCCACCTCAGTATTGGGCAGAACCTAAGTGGCTGGATCTTGAGTGCTGGCTGTTTGTGTGACTCCCGATGGATCCACACTGTATCTAGTGTTTTGCTGTTTTTTTGAAAGTGAGTGACTTTCTATTCTTTTTGAAATACTTTCATATCATGATTATTTACTTTTGATTAAATTTTCTCTCCTTCAGTTAGAGGGTACATATTTCCCATCATATATTCTCCTTTGATTGAAGACTACACACCCACACTCCAGCACACACACACACTCCAGCGCACGCGCACACACACACACACACACACACACACACACACACACACACACATTCACACATGAATTTGAAGGGTTGCCTGTTTAACCCAACCTTGAATTCTGCAGTATAGTCATGTTGATCATGTCTATTATTCCATTCACACGCCAGGATGTTTTTCCTGATAATATTCAGTTCAGAATTTTTATTCTATCCCTAGATGAGAGAAATTGTAAACCAAGCTTTTGAAGAAATGAGCAGGGCCCTGTGCTGTCCTAAGGATTCCATCAGGTCTGGCTGCACTGACTGAGAAGTCTTTATAGCTGTGTGAGAGAAAGAAGGGTGTTCAAATTGAGTCCCACATTTTTCTTTGTTGAAATCTCACGTTGGCCTGACCCTGAGGACTTGTGTATCTGTGTCTTTTATCACCTGCCCATTGCCATCCCTCTGCTTTTCAAACCTTCTCTTTCCATGCCTCCAACACTTACTATGTTCTTATCATTCTGGAATACCCCATCCTGGCACCCTTGTCATGCACAGACTTCTGACTAGCCACCTCAGACTGTTCCTCTGTCGTGACCACCTCGACCAGCAAGGATGACACAACACTGGAGCTCTTCTTGCAAGCAGGTTATTCAGGACCTTTTTTAACAGTGGATTCTCTCTCTCTGTTTCTTCTTCTATCTCTCCCAGCCCCCTGGCAAGCCCTTAAAAGCAAGCTCATTACCCAATTAACTCACAACTCCTGGCGATCCTGGATAGGTCACAGCTGGAGGAGGCACACCAGATCCACTAAGGGCTTCCAAATAAGGCTTGTTTACAGCGAAGCTTGGTCTCCCTGGCATCCAGCCAGGCGCCATCTTGGGGCTGTGACTCCCCACATTCCTCCATGACAGAATGTTAGCAGTTCACTAGGG